GTGAAGGCAAGGTTGCTATGTCATGGAACTGTGCTTCTACTGTGCTTCCCACAAGCTGGATTTTATCCTCCTATGCAAAGGGGACTGAACAAAAGGCTTTCCATAGGAGAGTGACACGACCCAATTTGTGTTTTAGAAAGGCAAATTGGATAGCAGTGTGGAGGAGAGATGAGAGAAATTAGGAAACATGGAGGCAGAGAGCTAGAGAAGATTGTGGGATGTCAGTGATCTCATAAAAGAGGCAGTTTGAATGTGAACTGGGGTCCACTGAGTGTAAGTCCAGCATACCTGTCACTGCCAAGGGACCTCCTCATCTAATTGGGTTATGATTCACATGTGCACCCGTTTTTAAAATCAGAAATGGCACATCACACTCTGCATGCTTTTTTCCTTCCCTGAAACATTAGCTCCACCCACATTTAGAAATACTGAAAATACTTTGTCCTCCTTTTCTCTCCCTTTCTGCTTTTCATGTGGCTGTCCTCAGAGCCTGCATCTAATTAACTCAGCCAGCTTTCCCACTCAGAGCTCCTTCTGCAAACCAGACTGACAGGGCCAAGTGACAAAGTGAATTATATCATTCTTAGGTATTTGGCCTTGTTTTCCTTGGGCCACAGCCTGACTTTTTTGTGCCCTTGGAATGAGGGCACCTGCTTATTTTCAAGAGACTGGTATCCAAGGCCCACCCAGATGGCAGAGCATTTTGTGATTGTCAGGGGCTGCTCGTTCTTGGACTTGGTTCACTAAAAGCTGGACAGAAGGCCAAGCAGACCTTGATAACTCTTCCATCTTCCCTCCATGGTGGGGGGCATTGGCAGCACCTTAGAGAATGCACAGGTGTTGGTTGATAAGCTTTGCATACAGGTTAGTGAAGGAAGAAAAGAGAACAAACCTACTGTTTCATGCATGCATTACTGGAATCATTTTGGGATGTTGAGACTAAAGTAAAAAAAGGGGGGGCGGATTCATTTAACAGAAGGACATATGGTAAAAAGGTGAGAAATACAGTAATTAGTAATAGCAAATGGACACAAAAGGTTGCAGTAGATAAATGCATATAAAATTATAGACATGCTTAGCTTTGCTTCTTACAATGTGGTTTTAAAAAGAGTCATTTAAAGCACCTGTTTCTATTGAGCACCTAACACGTAAATTTTCTTCATCGATCCTGGGGCTGCGGTAGCAACCTGGCTGGAAGAGTGGCTGAATAATTAGAGATCTAGTTGCAGGCAGTGCCAGAAGTGAACAGAGAGCCAAGAGGAGTGGTGCAGGTGCTCCAGCATTGGTTTTGGTCCTGAGGCTTGTCGATTATCAGGTGACAGCATACACTCAAAGAGAATGATGATCTTGTGAGTCATATGGTATTCGTAGCACACATGAATGTGACTGCACAAATTCATTTTCTTTAATTCAAATGGAACCTGGCTCTGAACACTCCTCCTCCTCCTATCTGGAGATGGATTGATTCTAATGAAACCTTAGTGAGCTCTTCCTCATCCTTAATACCATACACCACCACCTCCAGTGGAGGTTAAACAATCCAGGAGGCTTGAGAGGTGCCTCACAAGGGGCCAGGCCTCTCATCTTCAGATTCTGAGTTTTCTGCCAATACTCATATTGTCCACATCTACAGAGACACTTAAGGTTGTGCGTCCTCACAAATTTCCCTGGGAGCTTAGCTGAAGAACAGTACTGGTGAATACAGGTATGGGGTGTGGGCTGGGGGCATCATGGAGTATCAAGTCCCTCTGGGCTCTGACCACCTTCCTGGGTTGCATCAAAGGGGCCTAAGTACCCCGTCCTCACCCAGCCCATGGGCTTCTCTCCCTGCATCACCTCTTCTCTCCCTGCATCACCTCTTCAGTGAGTTCAAGACAGGACAAAGCATTCTAGTAGCTTCTACTTTCTGCTTGGAGGATGGAGTGACAAGAAAGAGAAAGGACCCCACTAACTTCCTGAAAACCAAGAGTGGAGCAGTGGGGAGGAAAAATATTGAGGACTCAATGCAAATTAATATCTTTTTTTTTTGTATTTGTAGATGGACAGAATGTTTTTATTTTATTTGTTTATTTTTATGTGGTGCTGAGGATTGAACCCAGTGCCTCACGCATGCTAGGTAAGTGCTCTGCCACTGAGCTACAGCCCAGCCCTGCAAATTAATATCTTAATAAATGATCCTGCTACAGATCTTATTAATTTATGGGCCCTGCAGAGAGGCAGCAGAGCACTGTGGGGATGGAATGCTTGGAATCTTGACTCTGCCCTGTAGTGACACAGGACTAAATCAATCCGTCAGGGTCACTCCAGGAGAACTGGGCTGGCACAAAATAATGACACAAAGAGAAATACTTTTTTCTTTGGGTTCAGTGACCACTCCTCAGCCGCAGCTCCCACAAGGGGGTCAAGGCAGGCAAGAAAGAGAAGGAGCATGTCTCAAACCCAGGTTTTAGTAATGGGGTAAGCAAATCCACGAACATTCTATCCAAAAAAGGGCAAAGGGTAGGGTCGCAACAAACAAGAAGATGTAATTCAACCCCAATGGGTGACACCTACTCCTAATTGCATTGCAATGGGTGCAATACCAGTTCAGTACCTCTTTAATCAGAACCTAAAGTGTGCACTATAGCTCCTGTCCAGAGCGGCTCTCAACACTGCCCCTCAATGTCCACACCACCCTGCCCCAGCTTCCTCATAAGTAAAACAATGATGATAATGATAGTACCTATCCTGTTCTGTTACTGTGAGGTTCAAGTGATAATCCACAGCACTGAATACAGTATCAAGAAAGGGGGGTGATTTATTAGATGTCAGTTGTAATTGAATTTCTGCTTTCTCTGATGCGCACATCAACCCTCCTTCCTTTCAAAATGTCACTAAGCCAACAATAGCTCTCTCTAATGATACCTCCCTGTCCACAACCAACAAGATAGAAAGAGAAGGAAAGAGGGAATGAGGAAGGGAAGACTCATCCTGAATGAACCTTGCTGAGCTAGAGTGTGGTTCTCACCTTTACCTGCCTAAATGGCTGCTCTGGGTGGAAGAGAAAATGTTCTATGGGGATGATGTTTCCCACTTGTCTGTCATTCCTCATACCTCTTTGGTTTCTCTATTATTAGACTTTGTTCAGTTTTTAATGATGGATATTTTGTGTGTTTGTTTATTCAATGTCTCCTCTCCCAGCAGATTATATAGCTCTAGAGGGCAGGGATTAAGTGTGTTTTATTGACCAAGTACAATGATTTGGCTTTAACTTTTTAATCTATTAAATGAGGATGGTAATACCACTTTTGTCTACTTCACTGAGCTGTGAAATTAAAAAAGATAATACATGGGAAATGTCCTTGTAAATCATAAAATGTGATGCAAATATTAGTTATGCTTAGTGCCAGGTCTGTTTGAATGTACATCACTTGCTGAATACTTGGGTGGTGAGCTCCAGGACACATGAGCATTTTGTTAGATGCCATAATAGAGGAGAGTGCTTAGAAAAGGATGCATGTCTTGACAGACTTTATTGTGTGACATCACAGGTGGCACTGGGACCTCTAGAAATAACCATATTCACTTAGTTCACTCATAGGTTTGAAGTTTTTAAACAGAAGCACCCAGGAAGTAATCCAGAGCAGACAGATTCCACATACTGGGGGAATTTTCACAAGTCAGTTCTCAAGCACGATGTTCCTGTTCTACCAAGAGGCAAGGGTGATCAATATGACACCTTCCACTGCTTCTATAGTAGTGGGGTTGTAGAGGGAGGCCAGACTGTTCCAGAAAGTGTTATGCCATCAGCATTCACAGACACAAATGGGAGAAGGATGAATCTCCTTAAATCCAAATATCACATGGATATTTGCAGCAACGTTTTGAACAGGGAGAGTTGGAGCCAGAGGAATGTGGTCGATGAACTGCTATGGTTTGGATAAGAGTCTCCTCAAATCAAAAGGCTTGGTCTGAAACCTGTGGTGCTATTGGAACCTTTGTGTGGTGAAGCCTTTTGGAAGGAAATTAGGTCACAGGGGGCATGCACTTGAAGGGCATATGGGGACTCCAATACCTCCCTTTTTGCTCTCTGGCTGCCATGAGGTGAGCAGCTTCCTTAACTACTGACTCTCATCGTGGTGTGCTGCCTCACTGCAGGCCCAGAACAACATGACCCACCAACTATGGACTGAAGCCTCTGAAATTGTCATCCAAAATAAATCTTTCTTCTTTCTATGTCTGTTTATCTCAGGCATTTGTTACAGTCGTGGGAAGCTGACTAACACATGAATGTACTAGATGTGGAATGTGACTACCCTGCCTTTGACACATAAACCAGGAAATAAGAAATTATCTATTCTGATGGCCCATGTGGGTCATGAATCACTGAGGTTGGGAACCCAAAGACCAAATGGTGATAAAGCAGGAGGATAAAGAGAGAAGGATCAGATTGAACCAAAACCAGACACATGTTTTTTCATAAAGCCATTCTTGGATTTTGTCCTCTCTCTTAGGGAACAGGATAAGTGTTAGTATTGCACTGTGTTGCACTGGATATTCCTATTGTCCTATGTGCATATACAATTATGGTTTAACGAACTATAGTTTGCATGTTTTATGATGTCTCTGGTTCTCCAAGGACCCCAGGTTCCCTGTGGTAGTAGGAGAAACCATTTTTCCCAGACTCTCAGCTCAGACCTTACTTGCTGTGTCTTTATATAGCTGTGATTCTGAGTTCACAGACATGAGCAATAATCCAGAATAAGTACCGTAACAGGACAAAGTAGGACAGGAAATGGTCTAGTAGGAAAAGAAATAGGCCCCAGGAATGCACAGGAAAGTGGATTTCACATTGGACCCACAGAAAGTCAGCTCCATTGCAGACGTGTGATCTGCAGAGACCAGGGCTGAGAAATTGGGATGAGCAAAAGTCATACATGACCACATTGGAGGGGATGGAATGGTGGCTATACATGACAGAGGGATGAGAAGGAGGAATGAGAAAGGAGAAAAACTTGTAATAAGTTTTTAAAACAAAACTTTAATCCAAATGACTGTTACTCGCACAAATGTTTGATCATAGGCCTGGAAAGATTGGAGTTAGCTTTAATTTTATTTGCCACGGAATTGTGGCCACAGAAAGTAGCTTTTCTCAGGTTGAATTTTTCCTTTCCAATCATGGTCCACCTGGTGTGAGGAATGTGTTGTAATGGAGAGTATGTGGGAATGTCCAAGAGTCAACAGCTAGCCAATCAGAAATGGCCTTTTGGAAATTGGTTGTTGATGGGAAGTGAGAAATCCATCAACAGGGCCAGGCTGTGATGAGGCAAGAAGGGGAGAGACCAGGCTAGCCCTCTGCTTGAGGGCAAAGGAGGAAGGAAAGCAGCCCAGAGAGGAGCTGGAGCCGCGGAATCACAGAGGAAGGCAGAGGGCCAGCAATGGAAAGTAATGCCTCCATTTTGCCCAAGGGCAGACTCTGATCTCAGGAAAAGGGAGCACATTTACTTAAAGAAAAGCCATCGCTGGATCTGCCCTTGAATCCCTGGAGGAAAGCCCTGGCCCTCTCCTGACACACTTCATCCTAGCTGTGAAGGTATTTCTGGAAGAGTCACATGAAAGTAAGCAGGGTACTGAAAGGAGAGCCAGTGTGGAAGCCAGTGCCCGGAGGTGGAGGCGGCTCCTTCGGAGAAGACAGGGAAGCTTTGTGTGTCCCCAGCATGAGGAGCCCCCACTTTCCCATCTCTCAGGCCAGCCGCATCCCAGCGACATGCAGGGGCTCCTCTGTTCCACTCTTCTCTTCACCGGGCTGGCACAGGTAAGTCCTTCCTCTTTCCCTTCCAGAGACTCTAGCCATTTCGAGTTCTTCAGGCTAAAAATAAAAAAGGAAGAAGATGGGGGAAAATTACTAGTGGGAAAATAGGGAGCCATTTTTCTCTCCAAGTAAAGTTCTGTTTGAGTGCATTAGCTTCATGAGAGAAATGTGAAACTCCTCTCCCTTTCAGGTTAAGGCACTGAAGTCTACTTTCACTATGTTTAAACAGCCCTCAACTTTATATATTTTATCCAAGTTGAACATGCACTGTGACCCTGGGACAACGGCAGAGCTGGCGGCCACAGTGGAGTGAACACTGCCAGGCTGGGGCTCAACTTTCCAGGGTTGTTTGCAAAAAATGTGCAAAGAGCCCCTAGAAAATGGATTTTGGCAACAACTTTTTTTTCAGTGAAGCCAGTCCTTGTTTGAAAGGAGTACTTTGGAACAAACATGTACATTTTTAAAATATTCTATTAGTTTGTCTTTTCTCAATCCATGTGTTTCTCACGTTTGTGTGTGTGAAAGGGAATCGGCCCATGGAGACTTGGAAATATTTCAAGCAACAGACCAAAGAGAAGTTTAATATGAGCAATTCGTTGTCTTAGTATTTTTTTTAATGAGAAGATTAAAACAAGGTGACTTATTTATTGATTCATTTACATAGTTGAGGTTGTTGGCACAGGAGACAGAGCTTTTGAAATCTTCTGGTGATTTAGAAAACATGGAAATGTCTGAGTTAATAGCCAATTTGAGCAGTGGGCAGTAGATATATGTTGGAAAGCAAGTTGTTATACTTAGTATTGAGGGATTTAAGACTTCAAAAATATCATGATGATAATGTCAGTGGCCTAGGTCTTGCTCATTGTCCCCTAGGGGAACACTTCCCCAGTGGGGGTGGGACACAGATGTCCCTCTCCTATTCCACTTTCTGGACTGAGCTGCTACATGTTCCTAAATAGCAAGTATTCCAATATGGAGAGATGAGTACAGGATACAAAATTTAAAAAACACAGAAATGTGTTATGCTAAGGGTAGTAAGAAAGTATTATTTTGTGTTTCACTTCTTTGCTGTTGTGAATTTTTAAAGAGTCAGATGATATACTTACCATTTATTGAACATCAACTGTGTGCCAAGCACCGTGCTAGGCACTTTACCCATCCTAATCTGCAAAGCAACCTTACCAGGTGCATATTATCAATCCCATTTCACAGAAGAGGATTGAGGCTAGAAGAGCAAATGATAGGAAGTCTTCTAACATCACTGCTTGGCTAAAGCTCAGATCTGTTTTTGAAGCACAACCTTCCTCTTGCATTATCCTAATGACTTGTTGTCTTCAGATTTTGTTTTTGAAAGCAATCAAAAAGTGTCTGAAAAAAATATAAAATTATATTCACTCACATATTTGCTTTCCCAGTCCTTTTCATTTCTTTGATTTCTTCTTGTCTTCCTTCATTTCTTTCCTTCCTCCCTTTCTGTCTCTGTGTCTCTATACTGGGTATTGAACCAGGAACATTATACCTCTGAACTATGTAAAAAACTATAATTATTAAAAATATGTAATACTATTATTAAAATATATATGCATATAAACTACGAATAAAATTATTATTTATTTTTAGACAGGGTCTCCCTAAGTTACCCAGGCTGGCCTCCAACTTGCCATTTTTGTATCTCAGTTTCCTTAGTAGCTGGGATTATAGGCCTGAGCCACCATGTATTTCTGAAGTTACTATCTATGATAATTTTCTTAATATTTCTTCCTTAAAATTTTTTTTTTAGTTGTAGATGGACACAATACATTTATTTATTTTTATGAGGTGCTGAGGATCAAACCCAGAGCCATACATCTGAGGCAAGAGCTCTGCCACTGAGCCACAATCCCAGCCCTTAATATTTCCTATGAGGCAGGTCTCTTAGAAACTTCTCTCAGTGTTGTTTATCTGGAAATGTCCTTTAATTTTCCTTCATTTTTGAAAGATAGTTTCACTGGATGTGAAATTCTAGGGTGCTGGGTTGTTTTTTTCTTTTACGATTGTTTCTGCTGGGCATTTTCTTCTCTACTCTTTCCTTCTTTTGATGAGAATTAGACCTTATTGTTATTCTCCTGCCTGTAATACTTCACTCTTTTCAGGCTACTATCACAATTTTCTCTTTATTCTTGGATTTCAACAGTGTTACCTCCTGACTCAGAGATAATCTAGAAGTGCTTCAAGACTGGAAAAATATATAGGCGTTCTCAGATGGGCAGTTTGGGGAGAAGGTATTTTATTAGGGAGCTACAAGAAGAAAAGAGAGAGGAGAAACCTGACATAGGTAGTTTAGCAAACAGAAAGGCATAGAAGGCAAGTGTGTTGAGAGGTAGGCACGGGCCAGACCAGACAGCTCCATGCTCAGAAGTTTGGACTGCACATTGTAGACAGTAGGAAACCACCAAGGCGATTTAAAGAGAGGAGTAATACAACCAGATATGTTCTTAAGAGAGATCCTTCCAGCAGCTATGTAAGAAATACACTTGAGAAGTTATTTGGGAGGGAGGAAGACTGAATAGGAACAGCATAGTAGTGCATAGTTGTTAAGAGCCACAGCTGAAGGGGCCCCAGCAAACTTCCAGCTGCCAGCAAACTTCCAGCTGCCAGCTGATGATTGGCTCACAGCGGCCCCAGCAACTTCTAACTGATTGGCTCCTCTACGGTGATGCTCATTGGGCTGTTTTCCCGCCCTTTCAGACCACAGAGCTGCTCATTGGGGGACTTTTTTTGGCTCTGCCCACGCGACCCAGCCAATCAGCCTCAAGAGCAAGAGGAGTGGGGGAGGTTTAGAGGCTTGTGGGAAGTCGGTGGTGGCAGTTGGGTTCTGAGGGTTTTCCTGAAGAGCTGTGTGGTGCGGTGTGTGTATTCTAAAAATAAAGTTCGTTTCCTTTGACAAGTGGCTTCTGAATTGTGCCCAGCCAGACTGCGGCACATAGTAACAATGAATTGGGAGAGAAAATAAGCAGGATGAGCCACTGAATGGCTGTAGGAGGTGCAGGAGAAGAAGATGACCTGAATGACTCCTATTTCCTATCTCCAAACTTGGGAGACGTCTGGGGTGAAAGGTGATGAGTTTTGGATCTGAGTTTTTCCTTAGAATATTTAGCTGGAGCTGTTTAGTAGGCAGTCAGCTATGTGGGTCTAGATCTCTATGGAGAAGTCTAGGCTGGAAATTTAGTTTTGAGGTTATATAGGAAGGAGGCTAAAAGCAAGAGGGTGATGAGAATGCCCAGAGACTGTGTGTAGAGAACAGTAGTATACTAAGGTCATGAAACATGAACAAGCCTAGATTGAAATCAAACTTGGACTAAGAGGATCCTGCCCAGGAGAGTGAGAAATTATAACAAGAGATAGTGGAGGACTGGGAGGACCAGGGAAATGAAAGCCAAAGGAGAGGAGAGGGATAAGAAGGAAATGTCAAAACTTTATAGAGGGTGGGGGCAGAAAGAGGAGACTCTGAACATAAGGCCACCAATCTAGCATCTGAATCAATAGTGACTATGGCTGAATCTGTGCAAAATTGAGAAGTAGAAAAAAAAATTTAGGTTGCAAATGTTTTAGGATTAGGATTCTAGTTTCCATTGTTTCTACTCCCTTCTTTAATTTTGGGTTCTTTATTTAAAGAACCCAAGGATCAAGAAGAAGGATCAACAAAGAAGAATCAAGGATTCCCTTGACCCTTCTCCAGAAGCCCAGCATTGTCCCAGCTTCCTCACCAAAAATCTGTTCTTGGGCTCTGGCTGTAGCACAGTGGTAGAACATTTGCCTAGCATGTGTGAAGCACTGGACTCGATAAAAATAAATTTTAAAAAATCTATTCTCACATTGTGTGTTCAACTTTTGAAGGTTGGCTGAAGTGTTAATCTTCCTGGGGTACACTTGCTTTACTAGTGATGCAAAAGAAAAGCTGAGGGTTTAATGGTGGAGTTACATACTTGCTGCAGCCCGGCTGGCTGGGCAAAATAACTAGGGGGGGGGGTGACGAGCAACTTGTGTACATTGATACAGCAGGAGTGGGAGCTGTTTATTGTAGGACAGGAGGGGTATATATACATTCCACACAGCTTATCTTAATTAACATAAACTAGACACAGAAGTCAACCAATAAGGAATCTCCACACTTAATGGCTTGCTGGCGTTACTTCACAAACCACTCCCTCTGGCAAAATGCCAGGCGCCATCCTGACTTGTTTACAGACCCTAACACACACTGATACTGCCCAGTATAGCAGTTTTTGAGGTTTTGGTTTCTGGTTCAGTCTGCCTGCCCCCAGTTCCAACAAGTAAACACTGAAAGTTACTTAGGTGAACATTTGCTGGCACTGGGCTAGATGCAGTAATCCCTACAAATGCCTTCAAGTGCCTAAGGTTGGGTAGCTCTATAGTTAGTGGGGGAGATGGGCACTCACATGGATAATTTCAGTTAAAAGACATTTATAAGGCAGGGAGGTGATAGAAAGCTTTCTGGGAGAGGTGGTACCTAAACAGTCTTGAAGGATAGCTAAGTTAAGAAAAAAAGTGAGATATGGTTAAGAATATCCTAGGCAGGAGAAATTGCCTCATGTATGCAGGGAATTTCAGGCTCTTTTGACTTTTTGTAAACTAAGGCATAGAAGAACTACAAGAAATAGTGTGCTTAGGAGCTTTCAACTTTCCTGTAAGCCAGTAAGTGACTTTTGGGAGTGAGAGATAGGGAGAAATCCAGAATGATTTCCAGCTTCCTGGTTTGGGGATCTGAGTGAATGGCAACACCAGTCACTAAAATGGGAATTGCTAGCTAGCCACAGGACAGTCTGTTGGGGAGAGGGCAAAAATGAGGTCCTTGATGCACACTGAAGTGGATATACTCAGGAGCAGTTAATGAGTTGTAAATTTAAGTGGTCTAGGCTGGAGAAAGAGTCTCAGAGATTCAGGAATTTGGTATCAAAGCTGGTTTCCAATGGGACTTGCACTAGGAAGCAGGGTGAGGGTTGAGAGCTCAGGCTTGGGACCTGCCTGCCTGGTTGAAATCCCTCTTCTACCACTTACTTGGTATGTAATCTAGGACAGTTTAAATAATCATATCCTGAGCACCCTCACTTATAAACTGAGATATACAGTTGCTACTGTAACAAATCACCACAAATTTATTGTCTCATAGTTCTGGATATCTGAAGTCAACAAATGGGTCTTATAGGGCCACAATCAAGTGTAGGCAGGACTGCCTTCCTTTTGGAGGCTCTGGGGGTGGGAGTGGGGATTCATTATTCACATTTTCATCTTCTAAGGGCTGCCTGCCTTTCTTGGTTCACAATTTCCTTTCAGAAATGACATGACTCTAACTCTATTTCTGTTGTCACGTCTCCTCCTCTGATCTGCCCGTCTTCCTTTTTTGGATGAATTTGATTTGTGATTACATGGGTAATCCAGGATGATACTTGCAGGACTCACTTGACCACATTTGCAAAATCCCCTTTGTTAACACACAAGGTGGTGTGCTGGCCGTGGCACATGCCTGTAATCCCAGCAACTTGGGAAGCTGAGATAGGAGGATCACAAGTTTGAGGTCAGCCTCAGCAATTTAGTGAGGCCTAAAGCAACTTAATAAGACCCTGTCTCAAAAAAATAAATAAAATGGGCTGGGGATGTAGCTCAGTGTTAAAGTGCCTCTAGGTTCAATCCCTAGTCCCAGCCCCACCCCCCCAAAAAAAGCAAGGTGGACTATTAACAGGTTCCAGGGACTAGAATGTGTACATCTTTGAGGGGATCGCTATTTACCTGTCACATGGGACAGGTAATTAATGTATACTGTTGCTATGAAGGTTAAATGAAGGTGAAGTTCCTGACACAGAGGATGCATCATGTTCTTATTTTTATTAAACATTTTTCTTTTCTGGAGTCAGCTAGAAAGGTATGAAGTAAAAACCTTGCTCTCATGATGCAGGAATCAGAACATTACATAGGTAATGAGGCAAGTGGTAAGATGTGTCTGGAGAAAGGCAGGGGTAGGGTGCTCTTTATAGAGAGGGCAGAGGGCCTCACTGAGAAATTTGAGCAGATCTAAATAAAGCAAGCATTGGAGATAGTTAAGGGCAGTGCAGGCTTGAAGTACTTAAAGAATGAGGTGGCCACTGTGGCGAAGCGAAGTGGTCAAGGGGTGAGTGGGAGTTGGCAAAAGAAGATGGGGAGTGAGGGCCAAATGGTGTGGGGCCTTGGAGAGCGGTTTGGGAAGCCATGCCCTGTTAGCAAGGAGTGGTGTGATCTGGCATATTGTAAAAGACTCATTTTGAATGCTGAGTGAACAAAGAAAATAGCAAGATGAACTTTTAGGAGGCTCCCAGAATCATCCAAGTGAAAAA